TTTTTGGTCATTTAGAAAGAATACCCAATACCTGTGGGTTAGCTATGGAAAATTATTTGCTATGCTGAGAATAACGTAAACCAAAGTGTACTTTAAAGTGCTTAGCTGAGAGAACATACTGTTCATGTTCATGCTAGAAGTACCAGCTGAAAATCCAATGAAATATAGTAAGTGAGATGAGGCCTGCGAACCCTGGGCGGAAGACTGACTGTGCTCAATATAACACCTTGCTTGATGGAGGCCCTCCTAAGCCTTGGTCACTGACTGTTTATACCCAAGTCACTAAATGATATTTCCTTAAAGAAACAGCATGTATATCTCTTCTGATTCACATAGACTTCCAGCCTTCTCCACAATCAGTCTGCATTGCTCAAGTCCTACTGCATTCTTTTCTGCTGGTTACCTGGATGTTATAACCTCCTAGCAGGCAATTGCAGTTGGCAGTATTCAAAAACCAAGTTATTTAAAAAATGTGCATCATTCTGAAAACAAAATACAAACAATATCATTATATGGGAAAATATTCACAATGTATTATTACATGAAAAAAAGCATCAGCCTAAGATATTACCATATTACCATTTTGACAAATAACATATCAAATTATGTATCAGTAACGGGGCAGGAGTTAAATTTTTTTTTCTTTTATTGTGACTTTCTGTAGTTTTCAGTACGTTTTCAACACTGAGCATTATAATGAAGAAACATGAAAAAACACTTTGTAAAAACGTACCACAGGGCATGGTTTGTTCCCACAGTGCTTTGTTCTCAGGCCCAAGGTAATGTGCATATCACAGCACCAGTGAGACGGCACCCCTCTACCGAGTCTGTCTCCGGACAGAGGTCACATAATCATCTAAGCATGTAGGTAAGGCAGTTGAGGTAAAGCCAGTGACTTTTCCTCAAGTGGAATTGTGGATTTGAGGCAGAAGAGTATGCCTAGCCCCAAAGCATCTACTGAATTTATTCAGTCAACCAGTAAAAAGGTTTGCTTAGTTTTTGTGCAGACCAAGCTACCAACTCCCTTTCCAACCAGTTGATTTCAACCCCAAACAACTGTTGGCTTAAGGTCCCAAAGCTCCTCGAGCTCCTTGAGGCTAAGCAGGATGGGGTGCTCTGGAGGAGCAGGTCACCCCGTGTGAGTGATGGTGATAGGGCCAGAGTGTGAGATTGGGGGACAAGGGGTGTCAGCCCACTTAAACTACGTAGAAGAAGCTCCTCACATAGAGAGTTTCTGTTATCGGAAATGGGGTAGGATGTTGGAAAGGCAAAAATAGTTACCTGCTATAGAATAAAATGAAATGATTATTACATAGACTAATTACAAAAGTTCTGTTGGAATTCTGTCATGATACCCAGCCAAACGGATTGGATTTTCCCCGGCAGGGTAGCATGGTAACTGCAGTAGAAATCTGCAGCCCTTCTGTGCAAGGGCTACCCACACTGAGGCTTTCAGCAAGAGAGCTGCAGTGAGCTGATGTGTTGCTTTGTAGCCCTGGAGCTGCTACAGGGGCAGGTGAGGGTTGCAAATAGAAAATGAAATTGTCAATATGTGATTTTAATAGCTTTTAATGCTTTTACATAATATTGGGCTGGCTAGCAAGAGCACAAAAAAGATCACACTTCTCTTCAAACCTCATTGAAATCTCATTAGGCAGATCTTTGTGAAATGATGACGCGAACAATAATGATTCCTTTTAATTCTCCAATCGTTTTGGCCACTGCAAGGGCCACAGAGGGTACACATTAGCATATGGCTGATAGGTGTTAAGAGAGAACTGTCAGGAATTAATAGAAATTGCAAGGCTTTTTAATCCCCCCCCAACTCAATTAGATGGGCAAATTCACATTTAATAGTGGTTGACTATACCAGGTTATCTTGCTTGCCTCTTCTGTCACTAGCTGGAAAACAAAAGTTCATTTTGCCCTTCAGTTGAAATATCAAGATGTTGGGCCTGCAGCTAGGATGGGGGAACGTAAAGGAGGGCATGTGTTTGAGGGATATGTGGGCAAACAGAATGGCAGGTTGGGTGTGGGGAGAGATAAGAGAAGAACACATCCAACATGACTGGGGTATGGCTCCTTCTAATTTATTATTTACTAACTGCAGTTTTTGTTGTCATCTGACACCTACAAGCTAACTGCCTACCCATTTAAAAAATAATAATAATAAGTTTATTTGAGTGATTGATTTAGCTGGGTTCTGGTTAAGATTTGATGATTCATGTTTGTGTATGAACAGAATTCCAGTTCATTATCCATGTTGCTCTTGTGAAAAAATGAAATGATCTGGAGAGACTTTTCAATAAAATCTCCCAGCTAGCCTCAGCCCTATCCCACTGCACAGCCTGAGTTCGCAGTTCCAGAAAGAGTTTTTCTGGAAGAATCCCTGGCTGCCCACTTCTCCGCGTCTCATGCTCCTTTTCACCCCCAGGGTCTGCCCCCCGCGAGCCTGGGCTGGTGGGGTGCGTGCTTTTCATACACTCGCCGCCCACTCTCCTTTGAGCTTTCTGTGTGGTAGAGCCCCCACCTGCCGGGTCTCCTCTGAGTGTTCTTCACAGCGTGGCTCTCTGGGACTCTTGCTTAACCCTACACTGTGATCATAGAAAATGTAGTAATAAAATAGAAAATACAGAGTTCCATGCTTCCCTCTAAGACTTGCTGACTCATAATTAAGCTTCCAGCATGTCTAGAAATTAGATATTTTCTTGTTACTACCCATTGTATTTTATGGAAGTGGAAAGCAAATCTGAAGCTTGAAAATGTATGAGGCAACATTTTGTCTGTGACTTAGTAGCCACCCACTGCATTTTCTATGCGTTACTAGTAGACTGCATTTCCTACTTCCTCTGAAATACTGTGTGGTTATCAAGGTGGAAGCCTTTGCATACAGAATCTCAATCGAGTGCTAAATAGAACCTTGGAGTGATGTAATAATTGCCCTTCAGACCTTCCACATGGAAAGCCCAAGTTAGCCAGTGCAGCACGATTTAGCCCAAGCTCCTGCATGTCAGAGACTCCCCTCCTGATAGAAACACTCACCGAAGCTCCCGCTTCCAGAGTGGTGCCCCAGGTATTTCTGAACCATGTAGATATGGGAGCAATGAGTACATGTTAGGTCTGTGCTGGTCAAAAGGGCATGGAAAACCCTCACGTCAGAAACGGAACTTGAGATTTAGAAGTTGTCAGTCCTTGGGTGTGAGAAACACCCTCATCCATCCAAGGCAAAAGGATGGACACAGAGACACGAGGTACAGTGAAGCGAGACTTTACTTACGGCCTTGCAAGGCTCGGGTGTCTGACTGGCAGGCACACGGAAAAGGGCTGGGGCAAGCAATTTATTCCCTAGTGTGCAAGTCCCTGCCCCCACCTCCTCATTGGCTGGGGTGCACAATCTCCCCAGATGACGTCTAAGATTAGCCCAAATTATTACCCCCTTGTAAGAAATTTCTTTGTCTGAGGGCTCAGGACCAGCCCACGAAGAAGGCCCGCCAACCCTGTGAAAGGAGCAACATTAGGAAATGAAGAGAACAATAAAGGGCTATAAACTCATTACCATCTCAAGGACAACTTTACCTATACAGTGACCCCCCAGGAATGGGCTGGACCAGTCAGTCAACTTTTCGGCTGGGACTGAATTATTTCTGAAAATGAATCACTTGGATTATTTTCTTACATTGGGGATGTCAGCAGATTAGAGGATGCCAGAGGCAGCAGCAGCTCTGGGACAGAAGCCACCCACCACAGGCTGTTTCCCTGAATTTAGCAACAAATTTCAGTCCAACCAGATCTTCCCACTGGAGCCTGAGTAAGAGCTGGCCTTTTGTCAGTTTTCCTAATATATATTAAATAGCTCTGTCACATCAAACATTGTGCTGCACAGACACTGAGCTTTTGACACAGAGATGTGATCTCAAACCCATGGCCGAGGGTAGTGTAGAGCATTTTGACTTTTCCTTTTGGCTATAGAGAAAAATGAACATCACAGTAAATGGAAATACAATGACCTGACCGGGACCCATCCCAACAGCAGAGGAAGGGACCTCGGTGGAGACCTGTTATAACAGGCTGTTTAATTTCATTTGGAGAAAGTAGACTTTGGACAGATGAACTTCTTTTCCCCTGGATTCATATTTATCTAACAGAATTGTGGTTGGGAAATGATCCAGGATTCACAAGGTCAAAAAGTGACCCGGTGCACATACTGTAGGTTTCTCCCATCTCATCCCACAGCCTCCCCAGCAGGTGGTCCAGTGGGCTGTTCGTACGTCCACAGCAAAAACGGTCACCCAAAGGACATATCCATCTCTTGGGCTTGGCCCTCCGAGGTTCCGGCAGCCCCCTCAAACTGAGGTCTCAATTCTGGGTAATCAGCCGTGTTCTTCCAAGCTGCTCTCCACAGCCTGAAACCATTCCAGCGCGCTTGCCGAATGCACTGGGAACTAAGGCCATCCGTGGAATTATGGCAATAATAATACACTGGATTTCTGTAATACCCTTTTTCATGAGACAATACATTTTCATAGACTATCCAGTCATAGTCATTTTTTCTTTATCCCAAGAGTGAAAGAATAAAGGAATGTTGAATAAATGTTCTGAGCCTTAGCTTTGAAACGTTAAAAAAAAAAAAAATTTAAGGATTATAAAGAAGTATTTCCTCCTCCTCCCCAGTCCCCTGGTTCCCTGGTGTATAAATAAGACATTTTTCCCCCACCTGAAGCTCAGCCTGTGTTCTGTGAACAGAACACAAAGTGGTTTCGTCACTATCCGCGTACACGGGGACGACATCGGGGTCCGCCTCTGCAGACGCGGGGCAGGTGCACCGGGGCAGGTGCACCGTGAGGCTGGGTCTCTCTCTCTTGGCACCCATTTCTGGGTGGTCTGCTCTGCAGGCTTTGTCGGAGCTGGCACCGAGCTCCCGCGTGCCGCCTGGGTGAAGAGGGCAGAGTGCTGGCGTGCGGCTGTGGGACTCACGACTTTCCCTTTCTTGTCTTTTTCAGAAACTGAGGCGAAGGAGGCGTGTGCGTGGCTCCGAGCTGCCGGGTTCCCGCAGTACGCCCAGCTGTACGAGGGTGCGTCGCCCTGCGCTCCGCTCGGCACAGGGACCTCACACTGAACCGCGTGTACCCCCGGCGTGTTTTCACTTCCAGCTCTTTTCTCAAACAGTTCGCTTTGCTTCTTTTCCCCTCACCTTTGCGATGCCCAGGGCTTGTCCCGACACCAACTGAGAAATGGGCGCGGTCTCCCGGCCCGCTGTCCTGCCACTTGCCACTGCTAAGTCCCCTGTCACTACCACGAACCCCAACTCCACGTCTTCCTTCCAGTCTGCTGCCGTCAGCAGCTTTTCAGCACTTTCTAACTTATTTTTCTCCTACTTTTTATCTTTGCTACTCTCAGTTTTCTTGAAACTACCATGAATTAGTTGATAAATTTCCCAGAAGTCACAAAACTGTCTTGAGTTTTCTCTGGTTCTGTTTAGTTTATATGAAAAGTGTTAAGGTATATGGCTCAGGTGTTCTCCTGAGTTTTAAGTAAGTGCATTTATTATGGCCAGGATGGTACTTGCTTTCGTCGATTCTTTAATTGACACTTAATAAACTTACTCACCTATACCTTACTTATATCTGAAATTATAACCAAAGCTTTTAACTCCTTCAAGGATCATCCGTATACATAGTGAATTAGACCCCAACAATGAGCAGAGGGCACGCTCTTTTTTTCTGCAAACTTTTTTGAAGTGCTCTCATACCATTCATTAATATTCACAACACCTCTGAAGAGTAGGTATTATAATTATCATCATCCTCATTTTACAGATGAGGAAACAGAGGCCCAAAAGAGATTAACTGACTTGCCCACAGTTCCACAGCTAGAAAGAGAGGAGCCAGGGCGGCCGGCCTTAGGTGTCTGTGTTTCTGCACCACTGCATAATCCCTCATTGGCAGAACGAGGCAGTCTTCATTCTGGCACCATCTGGAATTCATTCACATTACTTTTTTCAGCAGAAGTAGAATTATTTCTGTTTCCTACTCACACTGTTTTAGATACCCTTAGATTATCATGATTGGAGACGTATAGGCAGTACACAATATAAGGTAAAGAAAAATAGCAGGATAATGTTAATGAACTGGCATTTTCAGATTTGACCATGGTCTCATTTCCAATGATCTCTAGACTTTTACCTCCATGAATGAGGTTCCCAAATTTAACGTAATGCTCTAACTATTGCCCATGACCTCCAAAGTTGGCATGCACAGTCTATTGGAGCAAAGTCATGGTGCTGGAATTTTCTTCTCTTTGGGTAGAATCAGTCGCTGATATTTCAAAATGAATCAAGATTTTGCTACAAAAGAGAACATTTAAGACCAATGAACTTTGGGTATTTCTGGAAATTTCCTAACTATTGTGTAAAATCATCAGGATAGAAGTCAGTGGCTTGCACTTTAGGCAGATGGTGAGTGTGTAAACCCTCTTCTCCGAGTCCACGTCAGGCTGTGTCTGTGACAAGGATGAGCTATAGAAACACAGGCACATAGTATTCAATCCTATCCATGTAAGATTGATTATTCTCATATTTCACACTTACATTGTTCTCTTAAAAGAATTAATTATGGTAAAAATAAAAGTGTCTGCTATTTTAAACATTACCAACAATAGTAATGTGCAGTAACTGCTAGTCAGGTCAGTGGCTTATACAGACCTTGGTGGCTTGAATATGCTGGTACCCATTCAGATAAAACAAGGTACACAAACCTTTTTGTTTCTCTCTCTTTTTCAGATTCGCAATTTCCCATCAACATTGCGGCTGTCAAAAACGATCATGACTTTCTGGAAAAGGACCTTGTAGAACCTCTTTTCAGGTATATCACAGGAAGTATTTTTGTTTCTTTCTGTTGTTCAGTCCCCAATAGGTATCACTATACTGAGGGGCGAGTTTGACTATTCAGTAAGTATTTATCGAGTGCCTACTATGTTCCAGACATGTGTCCAGGTTCTAGGTATACTACAGTGATCATCTGTGTTTTCCTGGAGCTTAAATTCTAGTAGGACACTTCAGACAATAGATTAGGAAAGAGAGAGAGAGTGAGTGAGAGAAAGAGAGAGGGAAAGGATATTTCAGAGAGTGTCAAATGCTCTGAAAAAAGTAAAACAAGATGAGGATATAGACAGTGATTGGGGACCATGGATGGATGGCCACAGGGAAGGCCCTGAAAAACTCCATAAGTGTGTCAAACTTAGCTGCATTTTTTTGCAAAGTCAGGTGATTATATCCTCA